TGCTATAGTTAGAGAAGATGCTCTTGCATCATGCATATTTCTGTGCCAAGCATAAACTCCCTTCCGGCCCTGTAAATGGTCTGGTTCTCTGTGTAAGTGAGTCAGGCTGGAGTCAAGTAAACTGATAAATAATAAATATTTTTAACAAACTGTTTTCTCTTGTTCATAGAAAAGCCTGTTCTTAAAAATATTAGTTTTTTTTGTTTTTTTTACCAGCTAAAAACTACACTAGTCAGTCTGAGGAAGTGGATATTGGCTGTGTCAGTCTTGGTTCTGTTATGTATTCTTTTGAGTTTTTAGTTTTACTTTGCTCCATGATTTCTAGTTTTATTGATTTATTTCTTATTTTGTTGTGTTTTCTGGTTATATTTTAGGTTTTTAGGTTTTTATTTGTTGTCCTCTGTTGCACTCTAGTGTTCTGCTTTTTCCCTAGCTCCTTTCCAGTCTGCTTTGTTCACACCTGCGCCCTATCTGCTCGTTAGTCCTCTCTTTGTTCAGTCTCCCATAAATACACTCCTTGTGCAGTTCCTCAGTGCTGGTTCTTCGTCAAACTTCCTTCAACTCTGTCTCACTGTGTCTTCCTCGTCAAGATTGTTTTTCCCATAATTCCCCATGGTTTCTGGTTTGTTTAACTTTTTTCATGCTTGATTTCTGGATTTTTGGATTCCTGCCTCAGTTGCCTGTTAGCATTTCATTAAATCAACAAGAAACTCACCTCTGCCTCCCTGCCTCTGCATTTGGGTCCTCAAACCACAACCAAATCCTGACAGGTTGGACGGGTAACCAATGATCTGATTGTTGCTATAATTTAAATGTGTGTTCTGTTGTGGACAGGGTAACCTCTCTGGGGTGCATTGCTTTACTAATCAGCTTTTAGAGAAAGGCCAGAACCATTCATCACTTAAAAGCACAGCTTGTCAGGAATTAACTAGGAGACACCAAAGTTATAATCTTAAACCTCTTAACTAACAGTACTTACATTGATTGTAACTCAAATCCTATTAAGTTTAGTTTTTTTAGAGGCTCAATTCTCATTTTCCTTTTTTCTAGATTTAGAAAATATCTCTTGACTCTAGAAGCCAAGTCAAAGTGGATGCTGTTCTTTGGCATACAGATTCAAAGATGGCAGGAATAGATTCAGTATTTATTCTTTGATGAAACTGTTAACGTTAAGTTGTGTGAGAGTCCATATTTCAATTGAAAAACAACATACTGTACCAATAGAGGGACTCCTGTCCCTCCAGAAATTCAGTCTTTTGGATTGAATTCTCACATATAGATACCTTATTAGTCTACAGTTGTGGTGGTTCTGGCAACAACATAAAGGTGGAGTCCGTTTATCATCCATCAGTACTTGGGGTCGTAAATGTAGAAGTCCCAGGAGGAAATTAACTTTCTAACTTTGAGGTAGTAGTTCACTTTTGTGAGCTGCATTCTCAAAAGAAGCCATTGTGAAGGCTGAGTTATAGTCACACTTAAGGCTCTATGGTGCCGGAGCCTGAACAAGCGCCGCAGGAAATTTATACTTCATTCTGGTGGTGGTACAGTATCCTCCCAAAAAAACACAAGGGGCAGTACATCACATAACTAGCAGAAAGAAAATAAATGCTTTGCTCACACCAAAAATGGCAGTGTGCTCCATCAAAAATATTTTTTCATATCAACTTAAGTTAATTTCTTGCAGAGTTTAGGACTCCTACACTGAAAAAAATAATGCAACCGCTTTTGGCATATTTAGTTACTCTAACACAATAGTTTTATGTCCTACCCTGCTAACATGAACAATTGTGTAAAAATTTTTTTTATATGATTAAGTAAATGCCAAAAATGGTTGCATTATTTTTTTCAGTGTATAGTAGAACCAGGAAGAGGAAACCATTGTTTGACGTTATTGTAAAAAATATAAAACTGTTACATTTTCGACTCTAATTAATGTCTAAAAACTAACTTTATAACTCACATTTATGTTTCTCTTAACCTTCCCCGTTTCCATTTTTTTTATTTATTTTTGTTATTCTCTTCTTTTCTTGAAGTAATGATCTATTTGGCAGTGAAAGTTTGCATCTTTTTCTTTCTGAATGGCGCAGTGCATGTGAAGTCCATGCTGAGTTACAAACATTTGCAGGTGTACGGCTATGCTCCATCAAAGCCTTCAGGACCCTCCATGGGGGGGGGCAACTACTTTACTTAATCATATATTAAAAGCCAAACAGGGAAGGTTCAAAATCATATAATTTTTTTCTTTAACTTATAACTTAGTCCTTGCCTATTTTTACAGCATGTTTCAAGTTTATTGCTCACAGTTGAGAACAGTCTTTTATCAATGTCATTGTTGTTTTTTTCTTTCTTTTTTTTTACTATTGCACCATTAATCCTGCAGTTTTCTGTCACGACCCAGAGACATAAATCATTTCCTTGAAAAAGCTTCAAATGTTGTGCAGACTGAGACGTTCTGAATTTCTGCTTCTGATTTTACAATACATTGCTGAAGTATCTTTGATATGAAAATTGAGACTACGTTTAGCTTGGAAACCCCTTTATCACTATAATTAATAACAGATGCCTCCATTTGGAAACAATTATCTTCCAACACGATCGAATGCTGCAGACCATTGCAATTAAAAGTTGGCTATAAAGTCTTTGCAAACACAAAACACACCTTTAATTTTAAGATCTTGCCTCTCTTTCCAAACTCTATCTTAGGTTAATTTAATGAAAAGAAAAGCAGTGGTACTTGAAACGCAGGAGGTATATGTGAAGTGGGGCCAGAAGCAGAGCACTTTAGGGGACACATTTTCACTTGATCTTTTGTGACTTGGTCCATATCCGTAACACACACCTAAAAAGCAGGTCAAATGTACTAAAATAAGACCCCACAGATGTACCCTGTGGCTACTTTTTTTCTTTCCATCTACCCCTCACTGCTTTTCATGCTAAAACATTTACAGTAGTTAATGTTATGTCTGGTCCCTTATTACTTGGTTCTTTCAGCTCTATGAATCTGAGAGGGGTGGTGAATGATGTTGCGTGTGTTGGGCTAATATGACTATAAAAGGGTCTGGACGGCAGAGTCTTTGCACTAATCCGACAGCACAGGCTCTTTTATTAGCGCTGTCAGTGTCTGCTCTTACTTCTGTTTGTGTTTTCATATAAGAATGCTCCTCTGTGTATTGTAGAAAATAGCACAGGTCAATTAGGTCTATGACCCTTGTGAGTCAAAAAAGGATAAAAAAAAATACTTTCTTGTCAGAACAAAATGTTAATCATTTACACCTTTGAAAAAGACCACTTCATAAATACAGTTAGCCCAAACAGATGAGCTCACTTAGATTTGGTCATGTGTAGACACCCAGTTTAAACAAGCAACAGCTGTAAAGAAGTGCCAATTGTATTCTCTCAAGCCTTTAAACCTGAAAGTAATCAGCTTCTGTTTCTTCAAAGGCTGTGAAGGTGGTATATGTCTAACCATGCAGTCTTCTCCTTTTTTCCTTCCAGAATAATGACAAAATTGTGTTTTTATGTATGATTAATTACTTTATCTTTAGAGAAAATTTACAGTTTACAGTGTCTGTTGCCTAACGCAATGCCTAAGTAAGCCATTCTAAAACACAAATGCCAAAATGATGGCGCTTCAGCTGCATTTATACACATCCTACATCATCAGATTTCAGCATGTAACATCCCCACCCTCAACCACTGAATTTTATGATGCAAACAGCTGTTTTTCTGAATAACCTAACCATCTGTATCATTTATTTTATTTAGAATTGATTATGGATAAATTGCCTCAGGTGCGAAAAGATATTTGAGATAATTTTACATTAACTTGGTTGATCGTCAGAGGTGTCAAGTAACAAAGTACAAATACTTTTTTTACTGTACTTAAGTACACTTTTTAAGTACACTTTTTAGGTATCCATACTTTACTACATTACTTATTTTTCTTCCTACTTCTGACTTCTGCTAATTACATTTTCACACAAGTATCTGTACTTTCTGTTTTTTTACATTTTATTTCACATCATGAGCGCCATTCCAATGCAGGTCATTGATGCCATCCACATCTAGTGAAAACTAGTGTAATACTTCACTTTTACTTGAGTAAAGAGGTCAAGTTGATACTTCAACTTTTATCAGAGTGTTTTTATACTGCAGTATCTATACTACTACTTAAGTAACAAATGTGTGTTCTTTTGACACCACTGTTGATAGTTAAATCCAGGTTACTGTGGAAAGTGGATAGCATACCTAGAAAGCGTATAAAAAAAGTACAAAATAAATGCATAAACCTATTTTATAACTGTTTAGTATATAGATCTCATGCCCCCCTTCAAACCAGTCTTTGCCTTTATTTACTCAATCGGTGAGCAATTAAATTTTATTTTTAAAACAAACAGTCTGGCTGACAATCATTACAAGATATTTATCTGCTTTCATCCAGCCAGATGGTTTAAAGCAATTCCCCTTCCATTACATCTATACTTCTAAAACTGGTTATGTTAGCCAACATTTTTAATTGTAGTTTCATTATCTGCTCATGGGAAAAAAAACAAAAAAAACAAAATATTTTAACTAGATAGTTGATACCGTAATTACCGGTGAGCCACCACTAATTTAATGAAACAGTTATTTGGTACCATAATTTTTCCATCACAGTCAATACATGTATTCATTTTCATGTGCTACAACAACAGACATTTATATTTTGAGGCTTTTTAAACATCTTTGAAAGAGGTGGTAATAAATGAAGCCAGTGTTTTACAACTACCACAATTCGTGGCCAGTAAACGCAAAGTAAAAAGAATAAAGGATTCCTACTTCTATTGTACATGTACAAGGTAATGTAAATAGACCCCTCATGCTGTAATAAAGAGCCAGTCTTTGAATGATCTTGCTTCCTAATTCGACTCGACCTCCACTGTGCTGCCCAGTAATCTTGGCTGTAATGTTGCTGATGACAGAGATAATTAAAGCAGTTTGTGGTTTCTGTGTTTTTACAGCTGACGGATGGTGGGAAAGCAGCTAAAGGTGGTGTTGCAGTTGGAGACATGGTTCTTTCCATTGACGGTATTTCTACAGAGGGCATGAACCACCTGGAGGCCCAAAACAAAATCAAGACCTGCGTTGGGAACCTTAGCCTCACTCTGCAGAAGTAAGCATAACATTGTGTCTCCAAAAAACACAAACAAAAACAAACAATTTACACTTTTCACAAAGAAAACAAAAAATAACTGTCTATAATTTGAATACTTCCTAGTTAAACCCTGAGCGTTCCCCATCCAGGCCGTTAATCATGGTTGTTGTCGCTTTGATTTATTATTATATTTCACATATACTGACACCAATAGTTCTGCCTAAACTTTTCATTCCCTGATGGAAAGAAGAATAACTCAAACAAAAAGAATAGCATCTCACACGTGGATGTCCAACTTTTCCCTCAGGCCTAATTTTATACAGGAATCCCCCACAGTGATGATGATTTATCTCGAGCATTTCTGCTAAACAGTGTGTTTGTGAGGCTTGATTTAGGATCTCGTGGTTTGGATTGGCTGGTTCTTTGGCAGCAACCGTACAAGTGTATGTTTCTACTTAAATAGTGTGAGATGTTCAAGGCTGCAATACTTTCCCTTCATGAAATAATGAAAAGCATTCAATCAACTAGATCATTAAAAATAAAACAATATACATTATTGTATATACAAAAGGTAAAATCTTTGGCACTACTCTATGTTTTTGTGTGTCACTTCTCGGCTCCTCTCTCACCTTTAAGTGGACTACTACACTCACTCCTCTTCTCATTCCGGTCAGAGCATATCTTCTAATCTGCGTCCAAACAATGACAAAATAAAGATATTTACTTCTGGCCTAATGGCAGAAAAATGTCTGCCTGCAGTAAATACTGGATTACTTCTTGTAAACTAGTGTCTGTGTGTGGCTTTCTTTGAGAGTCAGACAGCAGCCTGAAGTAGGTTCCTGGGAGCTGTAGGTGGTTCAGGGCTAGGTGGAGAGCAGCGGCCCCTAAAATAATTAATCTACCACACAGCGCAGATTACAGCATGAGATTATTGTACATTGAAAAAAAAGATATATTACCTGTGAATTTTTTCGCAATAAATGTAAGCATAACTAGTTAAAAATGTAATATGTTTGAGAATTATTTACAAAACTTTAAGTGTAAAGTTTATTATAAGTGTGATTTAAAACCATAACCTCATCAACAGACACATTTCAAAAAGGCCAACAAAATCTGTAATGGCAGTGGGTATGATAAAATATGGGGATGAGAGGACAGGGTTAAACAGGGGTGTGGTCAGATTGAGGGAAAGTCGGAGTGCATTTGATATGACTAAAACATCTTAGTACCTACGAGCAGATTAAACAGTTTGCTGAATAATAAACAGATCCACATGCTAGACTGGATGAGTGTTGAAAAATATATTTTACATGACGAGTATGCATTTTTGCATTGATTTTAAAACTTAAAGGAATAGTTGAAGATGTTGTTTTTCTGGGTGGATCATCAAAATAAGTGGTCCTCTTAATTGTCAATCTTTTTTTTTTATTATTATTATTATTTTTTTTGTTTACAGCACTACAGGCTCATTTTTTCTGAAAGTAGTTAAACAAGCAACTTTGCAAACAGCAATTTTTAAACAGAGTGTGATCGAGAAGAAATGTGCTTGTGCACGCACTTGCACACGTTTTAATAGGTGTTCCCACTCAGGAACAGGTACAGGGTTGTACATGTGCATTTTTTTTTACAAAAATCCTGCACTATACCGTTAAACAGCTGGTGTTGCATTGTACTCCAAAAACAATTAAATTGCCAAACTCCTAAATTATACACACAGTAGTTATGCAGTATTTGAATATTTTAAATACATCTTATAGGGTCATGATATGAAAATGAAGCTTTTGCTTATCAATTGTATATTTGCTAAATCTACAGTTTGTGCATTAAAGACATCATCATAAACATTAAATTGCCTTTATTTTAGGGCTGCAACTATGATTATTTAGCAAACCGATTAATCTGTTGACTAATAATTGATAGCGATACGTTCCAGAAGATGTTTTACGAAATTAAACCAGGTGAAACTCAAACTTTTCCCATTGAGGGTTTCTGGATAGAGCATACTGACAGAATTTTTTTTTTTTTTTTAATTCTGAATGCAAGATGTTGATATATATTTTTTACAATTTTTGTTATAATTACAGCTCTAAATGGGTTGCTCTGTAAGCTAAAGGCATGTTTTAGAGTCTCTATACTCCAGTTAACGATTAATCGATCATGATTCATCCAAATAATCGTTTCAGCCTGACTTTATTTAGTACTTAACTCTATAAAGTCGTAGTGTCTGATATATATTTGCATCTCTTACAATGACTTATTTTATAAGTTAAACAAGTTTCCGAGTTTCATTTCAGTTTGATGTTTGGTGCTTGCTGATTCCGTGATGGACATTTTGTGTATTCAGACAGTGTCACACCAGAGTCACCATCTGGGCTTTATTGAGTTTAAACAGTGGAACAAACAGCTTCCTCTCGTTGTCTCTTTTAGTTTTTATGGGAGTCACTCTGTTCTCTTTTCCTTTTCCCCTTTCACCAGCACATTTTGATTGGGTGTTCTATTTGCTATCATAAAATTGGAATGTTAACTATGAACAGACAGGGAGAAAAGTTAAGAATATCTTATCCGTCTGTATGTCTGCATTTTGTAAATAGACAGCTTATTGTTTTTTTTCCATAACGAGAATTGATTAAAAAAAGTGACGAGCAGCAGTTTTATAATGAACATGATGCAAAAATTTCAAATTAATTTACCCTTACAGGACATATTTAAATGGAGAATGATGATTTGTATGGGCTAATTAGGCACATTAAATAAATAAAAGTTTTGGCAAATTATCTAGAACTCGATTCACCCCTCCATCATTTAAAGAAAACCATAAAGGGATAAAATTTATGTTTTTTATATACCTCTGTGTCCCTGATATATAATAATCCATCACAGAGGCTTTAATTCTACAAAATATTATTTGATATTCTATTATAAGGTTGCTCATGTGATGCAGGTTCTAGATAGTTTTTATAGACACAAATTAAATACACCAAAGTCTCTTTTAGGATTATCAATTAGTACCTTTTTTTTACCTTTTAAGACTGATTGTCTGGGGTCTAGTAATTATTCATCCTCAGTAAACTCCGCGCTTTGGAGTTATGTGCTACATCCACAGTCCTTAAAAAACAATGAAGCTGCAATTGAAAAATAAACCGGTTTCTCTTAATACTTCATGGTGGTCTATCTGCAATAAATGAAACATGCTAAAGCAGATCAACACTTATAAGATGCAGTCGATGATTGATGGTAATAAAGGATTTGCCATTGAGGGTATATTTAAAAAAAAAAGTAACATAAAACAGAAAGAATCTGTAGATCAGACATTTTTTCTGGTATTAAAAAAGACATTATCAAACTTATGTGTAAAACTCAAGGCTTGCAGGCCAAATCCAGCCCCTCACAGCAATTTATAAAGTTGATGATGCAGAAGTGGCCTGGTATAAAAATTATTTTGAAACCCCTGGTATAGAGTTTAGAAAATGAAAGTGTTGAGAGAGATCAAAAATTATATTTGAAGCTTTACTTGACAAGCAAAGCTCTAAAGTCTTTGCTGTTTTTGAAAATCTGTCTGAAATGAATAGATTTACTATGCGAGCAGTTGTTTAAAGTGAGAAAAAAAAAAATTTGTATTAAAATATCACTTAAATTAAAAAAATATAACCAAGCACAATCAATGAAGATTTAGATAAAACCAATAAAAAGAAAAAAACAATCATTTAGTTGTAAAGATACCGGTATATAGAAGACCCAGAAAAATGTATTCTATGTTGGAATTCTATGAGGTTGTCTAACAAGTAGATAAAACTTGGAAAAATGGATCTTAAAAGAAGAGAGCAAGGAAAATATTGATCCAGATAAAGCAGGGAGGAAGTGTAACCTGAAAGGAATGATGTTGAAGTTTAGAAAATGTGTGAGTGTGGAAAACCTCCTACTTTGGAAAATATCAGGGATTTACAGAAACAGCAACAGTTTTCCTTTCCAATGATGGTGTCCTGAGTTGGTCTCCTTCAGGAAAACACAAAGTTTCAAACTTAAAATTGCCCTCATTATTACTAGTTATTCCAGTTAGATGTACACCGAAGCATTAAACTGTTCATTTCAATTATTCTATTACTGAACAAAGCCACCTTTGTATTCTGTTATAATGTGTTTCAGCCATTAGTGTCTGGCTTAAAGGTTTGCTTCCTGTGGTGAGGTCACTCTAAAACCCATGACTGTTTAAAAGGTCTCTGTGTATGTGGGTGCTTTCTATTTCATTTGCAATGGCACAGCCATGAGTTCCTGGGTGTCATAATGTCCAAACTAAGAAACAGCAAGCCAGAAGTGCTAGGACCGTAATGTGTAATTGGATCGCTAACTTAACAATTAACCTACTTTTGAGCACCCTTGTTTAATCGGTTTTGTAAACACTGATCAGTCACTGAAAACATTGATGGAAAAACTGAACATTTGGCATTGACTGAAAACCAAGGCAAGCCACACAAATATTTAAGTAATCATACAGATTGAAGCTTAAGCAGCTGTGTGAGTTAGTTTAAGCCACGAAAAGGTGCTAATGACATGAAAAGGGTTGGGTCCAGGTTCAAGGGAGGTTTACAAACAGCCTGTACACCACAAATAAAACTTGAAAATGCACAAGTTCAGAAAAATAATAAAAACGTCCCTCTGCATATATTTCGGGAGTTGCTCTTAAAGTTTTTGTAAAAAGCACATCCTAGATTTTTAAGTATAACTACTATATACTGGCACAGCATCCAAAACATAAGTAGCACTTGTTCTACAGTGGGTTTGCTGTTGTCTTCTTCAGTATCTTTTGAGAAGTTATCAACATTTTTTCCACCACACTTCCTAAATGAAAAATACCTGCAGCTCAGAGCACTATGTGCATTGACCTTTGCTTTAAAACATGCCAATAAATGTTCTATAATCTCTCATACTCGAAGATATTTGAACTTTTTAGCAGTAGGCTGACTACACATCTACAACAGTTGATTTTAATATTTTTACCTACAAAGGCAGCCTGAGTATAG